ATGTTGTTTCAATGTGTTTAGTCTTCTTATTGTGTATTAATGGGTAGGATATTTTTTAGAGTACTTTTTTCTGTAATTTGTTTGTTTAATTGAATAGCTTGATTGAAAATGAAGATATGTATACATTTTGTGAATAAGGAGGTATGAGTATAAGATTATATAATTTTGTTAAAACTACAGCATTTGGATAGCATTTACAATGATATGTGAAACTGACTTTATTTTAGTGATTTTACATTTCAATATAAATTCTGATGGGGGTGATGGCGATATATTCTTATATTCATGCTTGCTGCTCCACGTAAAGAAATGTAGATTTCTTTGGAATATAATGATGATATGTATAAAACATTTTTATTTTGTTGCAGAAAAAATCACTATTTACTATTGATACTGATAAAGTATATATTATATTTTTCTTTCTTTTTCATTTTATTCCACTCTACAAAAAATTAAAGATATCAATCGAGGTTTTAATCTTTACATTCAGTCTCGCTCTTCCTCCACGTAAACAAACCATGGCAAGTCTTCGGGAAAAGCAAATAGGTAAATTTTTGGTTTATTTATGCGTTGTAGAGGAAATATGGGGTTATTTTTTTCCCATCACTACACCTATGTTAACGTACTGTAACGTAAGTGTAATTACAGCGAATGAAAGGGGAGGATTTGCATGAGAAAATGGCACTGAAGTCAGAGTGACAGATGAGGTTCATGACATTTGCAGGAATATGTTTCTTAGATTCTCACTTCTCTCTCCACTCTGTCGGCCAGAGAATATATTTTTGGATACTTAAAACACTCAAAATAAAGCTGTGAACTCATAAGTTGTATTCAAGTCAAATAACGTGTTTTGTTATTGTGTACATATGAGTTATCATTTTGGGGTTTATTGTCCTATTGAATTGAATGGCTATTAACTTAGTATTGAGTTATCATTTTGGGGTTTATTGTCCTACTGGTATTGAATGACTATTAACTATCTATGGCAGAGACTTATATCCTTAGATGCCATATTACACCATGAAGTGTCTGCTGTTTTTGATTCAGTCCCATAGACTTTGTGGTGTGCATGTCCTTCATAGTTGTCTCAAAAATGTAACTCCTTGGAAGGGAAGAAAGGCTTTGCAAATTATAATGATTATACATGTAGTTGTTGTTGTGTTCAAAAGTAGAATATTATCACTTATATGAAGGATAATTTATATTAATAGTTTTAATATAGTATTTTCTGATATACCATTTCTTGGATATTCCTATGATGTTGGCAAAATCCAGTAAGGGTGCCCAGTAAATTTAGTTCTTACTTGCCTCTCTTTGTACAATAAAGTGTTTATCATAAAGTCAAGAGTAATAAATTTTGAGTATTTACTGTCCATTATTTAAGATTATAAGTCCTGTATGATAATAGTCTTTCTTTCTTCATTTCTTTGTTTATTTATTTATTTATTTATTTTGCTTAAGGAAAAAGGACCCAAATATACACCTGGGTAACTCTTGCCAACTAATTTAATGCAGTTGGAAATGGCATGTATGTACATGACCTGCCTACTGTGAGTTTTGTTAAGTGATTGTCTGTATGTATAGGTTTGATTTTTTAAGATATTCATGAATTTTATATTGCTATTAGTAATGTTAATGACATTATGATAATTATAATGTCTATGATGATAATAACAGAATCAATATTAATAGCATTCCTAAAAACACAATTAAAGGGGAAATCAAGTGTGTTCACAAGGTCCTCAAATTGACTCCTTAGTGGTGGAACACTTATGGTGTCATCTTTATAGAACCATTTCACAAATCAAAACTACAGTGAACATTATATTTTCCTGGCGGCATTGAGTTACAGTACATAGCCTTGCAAAATTGGACTTCTGCAATTACTTTGAAATGCATTGTAGTCAAATGAAGTAGCTTCTGAGCTTAACCTCTTTACTACAGTGATTATAATATATGGTGTGTCTAATGGGGTCTCTCCTGTTGCAAGATATAGAAAGCCAGAGAGTCTCTTAGATTATTTAGGGGTTTTAAGATATCCTGTAAGGTTATAGGTCCATGAACATTCATTTTATTACATAGGCCTATAAAGCATAAGGTCATCATGTTATTATCTTGTAGCTATAGAGATGAGTCATGCCAAGTGATATCCATGGCCTTTGTGACTGTTGGCTGTCAGGGAAAGGCCAGAGTGGGATCCATGAATATGAAGGAAAGATAGAGGTTGCACCAAGAAGGTCTACAAATTCTTGTCTTGTCAGAGCAAAAGTTAGAGAGGATTCTGGTAAAGTGAGGGGCACCTATCGGGGGAAGATGGGTTAAGCAATCCTAAAAAACCTGTGAAAGAGATAGGGGTCATGTCAAGATTGGTAATTTTGAGCTGACTACATTTTTTAAAATGAAAGTAATCAGTAAATTCCTTAGCAGTGCTTTATCTTATTTTTATTGTCAAATTTCTAAGCCTATAATTTCTTATTTTGCTAGCTGGAGTTCATTGATGCCTACTGAGACTTATCACTCACTTATTTTTTCACCCTTGTATTGAATATTGATAATGTCTTCAGAATATTAATGTATGTAAATAAAAACTCTACCACTAATTGATATCAATTGCTTTGCCATAGCATCGCTGCGGCGGATGATAAATCTGAACAGTGGTGTGGGAAATACCACTGTAGGCAGTGAAACAACTTTTTCTGTCCTGATTTACGACAAGCATGGCCAAGATATCATTTCTCCACTTCTCTCAGTCAAGGACCTGCGAGAGATGGGAATCACACTTCATATGTAAGCATTTTTGATTCTGTTTATAGAATATAAATGTGGATGTATATGTAATGATAAAGTCAGGCATAGCTATATATAAGCTCTTATATTTATCTATATATAAGTGTGTGTGTGTGTGTGTGTGTCTGTGGTGTGTGTGTGTGTGTGTTGTGTGTGTGTGTGTGTGTGGTGTGTGTGTGTGTGTGGTGTGTGTGTGTGTGGTGTGTGTGTGTGTGGTGTGTGTGTGTGTGGTGTGTGTGTGTGTGGTGTGTGTGTGTGTGTGTGGTGTGTGTGTGTGTGTGTGTGTGGTGTGTGTGTGTGTGTGTGTTGTGTGTGTGTGTGTGTGTGTGGTGTGTGTGTGTGTGTGTGGTGTGTGTGTGTGTGGTGTGTGTGTGTGTGGTGTGTGTGTGTGTGTGTGTGTGTGGTGTGTGTGTGTGTGTGTGTTGTGTGTGTGTGTGTGTGGTGTGTGTGTGTGTGTTGTGTGTGTGTGTGTTGTGTGTGTGTGTGTGGTGTGTGTGTGTGTGTTGTGTGTGTGTGTGTTGTGTGTGTGTGTGTGGTGTGTGTGTGTGTGGTGTGTGTGTGTGTGTTGTGTGTGTGTGTGTGTGTGTGTGTTGTGTGTGTGTGTGTTGTGTGTGTGTGTGTGTTGTGTGTGTGTGTGTGTGTGTGTGTGTGTGTGTCTGCGCCTCTGCCTCTGCCTCTGCCTGTGTGCACATGCATTTGTGACTGACTGTCTGACTGAAGGAGAGGATAAAGGAAAGGAAGAGAGAATGTGTGCTCTACAGTGCTCATGTATGCATATATAACTGATGGTTATACGTATGCTGTATATGTTTATGGTATATTTTGACAAACAATCAAATGATAATTAAAACAGGAAAGAAAATATATATTTGACATTTGTGTCCATGTTTTAATGATAGCTAACTGAAAATATAATATGAACCCTTCAAACTACATGTGTATGTGTGTGTATAGTTTCTCTGTAAATAGATATATATGTGCATTAGTAAGGTAACTGGAAAGAGTTATACTCATAACTAAATAATTCACAGGCTTCTGCACAGTGAAAGAGGAGAAGTGCCAGATGTCCCAGCAATATACTTCTGCCAACCAACGGAAGAAAACTTGATCCGTATCGGACAGGACTTCTCTGATGGCTTATATTCCTCTTATTATCTCAACTTTATATCTCCAATCAGTCGACAAAAAATGGAAGATTTGGCCCTTGCTGCTCTACAGGCTGGGTGTCAAAGTAATATTAAGAAAGTAAGTAATTTGATTATTATTGGTATCTATGAATAAGTATTGTAATCCATTGTCATATGCAATTTGATATATGTGTGTGAAGATTTGTTTTCTGGAAGGTTAACATTACTATATATGGAATATTCGAGGTGTGATAGAAAAATAACATTTGGTGTGATTGTAAATGCTTAGAGCATAACTCCTAGAGTGAATATAATAAAAAGAATGAATAAATACATTTTTTCATGCAATTCACAGTAATAGCTTTCAAGGGTTTCTATGCAAAAAAATATATATATATTCTGGTTTTGCTGCAGTATTTTGGTGTAACTTACAAGTAAATTTCAAGGTACTGTGCATAGCTCATCATAATCTCGTAAATAGATCTTTTTAGAAATGCTTCAATATCCACGTAATGGTGAGGAGATACTCATGTGTTTCTCTTGCAGGTATTTGACCAATATGTCAATTTCATCAGTTTAGAGGATGACATGTTCACTCTAAAACACCAGGGTTCAGATACTCTCTCATATTATGGTAAGTGATAGATGTTTTCATAACTTTTTGGCTTGAAAGACTCATGAAGTGGACACTTAAACAACTATTTATTTTAGTAAATAAATGTAGAATTTCAATATGTTATATGTTTAACAGCCTCTTTATTATCATTTATGATATGCATTGGTTACAAATCATTATTATTGCCTTTGTCTCAATCTCAATGTTGTGAAGGGTACTTTCATTGGTAATTTGCATCACAGTCAGTAACATAAAATTCAGCATCAACAACAACAAATAATTTTTTTCCCTCTCTCTCTGCCTCTCAGCTATTAATCGCGGTGATGTTAAGGATTCAGACATTGATCACATCATGGACTCCATTGTGGACAGCCTCTTCTCGGTGTTTGTCAACCTAGGTATGAGGAGGGAGTATGTCGCTGTTCTTTTTATTCCTGAATTGTGAATCTGAATGATTTATTTATACAATA